TTCTGAAATTCTCTAGTCTCTTTCGAGTGGTTTGCTTCTTCTTCTGAAGTTTGTTCTTTCTTCTGAAATTCTCTAGTCTCTTTCGAGCGGTTTGCTCCTTCTTCTGAATTTCTCTAGTCTCTTTCGAGCGGTTTGCTCCTTCTTCTGAAATTCTCTAATCTCTTACGAGCGGTTTGCTACTAGTCTCTTTCGAGCGGTTTGCTCCTTCTTCTGAAATTCTCTAGTCACTTTCGAATGGTTTGCTCCTCCTTCTGAAACTCTCTAGTCTATTTCGAGCGGTTTGCTCCTTCGTCTGCAATTCTCTGGTCTCTTTCGAGTGGTTTGCTCCTTCTTCTGAGATTCTCTAGTCTCTTTTCGAGCGGTTTGCTGCTTCTCCTGAAGCAATCTAGTCGCTTTCGAGTGGTCTGCTCCTGCTTCTGAAATTCTTTAGTGCGCTTGCTCCTCCTTCTAAAACTCTCTAGTCTCTTTCCAGCGGTTTGCTCCTTCTTCTGAAATTCTCTAGTCTCTTTCGAGCGGTTTGGTCCATATTCTGAAATTCTCTAGTCTCTTTCGAGCGGTTTGCTCCTTCTTCTGAAACCGCTCGAAAGAGACTAAGAGACTAGAGAATTTCAGAAGAAGGAGCAAACCGCTGGAAAGACTGGAGAGTTTCAGAGGAAGGAGCAAACGACTTGAAAGAGACTGGAGAAAAACGGGCAAACTGCTTGAAAGAGACTAGTTTTAGAAAGAAGGAGCAAACCGCTCGAAAAACTTGGGGATTTGAGAGGGGGAGCAAGCCGCTCCCAGAGACACTAGAGAACTTCAGAAGAAGAAGTTTGAAAAAAGAGAGCACGCCGCTCCAAATCAGAAGAACGAGCAAATCACTTGAAAGAGACTTAAGAAGAAGGAGCAAGCCGCTCGAAAGAGACTAGAGAATTTCAGAAGAAGGAATTTTAGAAGAAGGAGCCGCTCGAAAGAGACTAGAGAATTGCAGAAGGAGCAAACAGCTCGAAAGAGACGGAGAGTTTTTGAACGGCGGTTTGCAGCTGGTGGTGGGTTCACCGAGCGAGAGTTTACCGGGTCACTGGGGGGGGGGCGACGAACACGCGTGCACGACGTTAAGCCCAAAATTTGGGACCCGAGTGCTCCCTTATAGGCGGTCGATCGTGAGCGAACAGCTACACAAGAGAGAGGGAGTGTGCAAGCCTTGATGCGTTTTCAACCGTGCGAAGTCTTGGATGCCAACACACTTGTGTCTTGAAATGCTTATGATGCAGATGCAGTGGTTATCTTGTACATAGTCAGTAGTTTGGACCCCCGGGTGCAGTCCACTGGCAGATGATCTGTACAAGCTTGCAACAAGCTTGTGCAATGTCCCGGGACCTTGTGTGGCAATTTTCTGGAAAGCGATGTTGAGTGCAATCGTGCAGCACCTGTGTCAACACACACAGACACACACACATCCTTTTGATGTGTCAATCTCGAAATTCCGAGTTTCCGATGCCGATAGCGGTGGAGCAGCTTGAAACCGCATAACATGCAATGTGCAGCTCGACACTATGTCGAGTGTCCCAACCCCAAAGGATTCTTCAACATGATGGGGCGAACATCCAGTCGCATGAACCTACATGAATCAGAACATATGAACCCAATCCTTAGCACGTAGCGTAACTCATTACTGCTTCAAGCGCAGTTGTTTTATTCAGAAGAGGTGGTGCCCAACTTTTCGTAGCGGTGCTTTTGCAGAAGCATGCACCGAGGCGGAGTGTGAAAACTTTGCTCCCAAGCATGCCCACATGTATTTGTGACTTTATCTTTTGTTTTACAACTCGTACTTCGTAGTCTGCAGGCTCACGTGTGATACGAGAATCATCGCTCATTTTCAGTTCTGGGCTCCTCTCATTCAGAAAAAGCTCTTCAAATTCAACTTAAGCCCCCAGCTTTCACTTCAAGATTCTGGACTCCATCGGAGTCTTCGGGATACTTTAAACTGTAAACCCTAACCCCCTTATGATGGCCATGGCTACGGACATCGCAAAAGCTGTAACAGCATCTCTGGAGCCTTTGAATGCTTGGAGGGGCTTTACCGAACAGCATCTGGTGCTCGGCGGCCCGTGCTTTCGTCAGCCTTTATGTTGAGGGTTTAGGGTTTTGGATCCCATATTTAAAGTCTTGATCAGGGACCCCCTCATATTCCCATAAGGATTGGCAAAGTGTTGCAAGCAAAGAGCTTCAGGTTTAGGGTTTAGGGTTTAGGGTTTAGGGTTTCGGGTTTAGGGTTTGATGAATGTTTAAGCTCCTGATTCCCTGAAACCGCCTCTGGTGCAATGGATACTTTCAGTAAAGGGAACAAGAGGTACGAGCAATGCCCTGTGGCTTCTTGGGGTTTTTGGAATCCCACCTTGCTAAAAACAGTATGCTTGAATTTTGGTGTCTTCGGGGTCCATCGTAGCAGCGTCGGATAGATGACAATCACAAATCTTCACGGTGTTCACGTAATTATTCGGCAGAAAGATCTTGATGTTGTGTGTTTTCGTGGCGCATTCCCGCCTAGAGTCGCAAAGCCAAGGGTGCAGGGCCAGTGGCCGTTGAATTCGAGTTATTTGGCTCTGTAGCGTGACCTCTTGCATCATGTGCGCCTGAAGGAATGCTGTGGACCCGCGACCTCCGAAAGTGTTGCGCCTTGCAAAGCTCTTGCGCGATTTCAACGGCTTCGCAGCAGAGCATGTGTCTCATCAGCGGGACCGCGGCGAACCAGTCGATCCGCTGTTCTGTTCCCTTGCCCGCGGTTCCTTTCTTGCGCGACATAAGAGCCAGCAAGCTTTTGACTTGAGCTTGGACTGCTGCGACCAGGGCAAGTTCGATTTTCTCGGCAACGACGCCTGCTTTCCCGAATGGCCATCCTGGTCGATTCGTGTTTGCTGCGCACACGCACTCTCGGTCTCGGCAAGTCTCAACGAAAGCGGCTTCGAAGCACTCTGGAATCAGATTGCAAGCGCGGCGCCTATCAAAGCTAATCCTGATACAAAGCGTGGTTTCATGAATGCCGTCGTGGTGTATCACAAAGCTGGTACACAGCTCACTTCTGAAATTGTCGGTGCCGCTTGGACGGCAAGTTGTAGGCTGCGAGCTGCCAAGACAGGGCATCTCGTGATCTGGCACGTGTTGAAGTTGCTTTTCATGTCATTGTTCTTCGGCTTTGTACCTCCCTAACCTTAATACTGTTAGAACGCTATAGCTGTTTATAAAGCCAACCCAGAGTCACTTCCGTCCGATACTCGCCTCTGCACACGGATTCCTTCCAAAACCTCGCAGACAGAAAACTTACGCAGCCCCCAGCCCGTAGTACAGCCTTCAACTCGAAGCCTATAGATCTGGCAGCACCATACAAGCCCCAAGCCCTATACCCGTAACCCCAAATCCTAAACCCTAAACCCTAAACCCTAAACCCTAAACCCTAAACCCCAAACCCTAAACCTTGAGTCCGAAGCCCCGAAAGTCAAGCCGGCACCGAGGTGAGCAGCCCCGGACCGCTCGCGCTCTTTCTGCTTCGGAGCCCTCCGCCCAAGGCGTCAAAGCCTCCTCCCGTCTTTACTACCCCTGCTGTTTGGGAGGGTTTCAGGGAGTCTGGGGGTCTTGGGCTCATGTTCGTGTGTGTCATGAGTCGAGTCTAGGGTAAAGGTTGTCCCCCAATCCGAGACTCGAAACTCCAAAGCCCCAACAGAGGTTCTAAGCTCTTGACCCTAAAACCCTAAACCCTAAACCCTAAATCTTGTAAGCTCTTGACCCTAAGTAAGCCCCATCTGACACATCCCCTGCCTACTGGGCTTTTTTTCGGACCTGAGGTTGTCGGCGGCTTTTTTCTTATTTTCTTCACACTTGACGGAGCATTATTCATCTTATTTATAAGTTTTTGCATGTACAAGTCTCTCTCTCTCTCTCTCTTTTTGCTCTTCCTATCTCTCTTTTTCTCTTTCTCTCTCTCTCTCTCTGTATGTATGTATACATGTACATGCACATTCATATCGAAATCCTTTGCATAAATGAAGAGAAAAGAGAAGGAGAGAGAGAGAGAGAGAGAGAGATTTGACGGTCGCGCGACTTGGCCTGGCCAGGGTGGAAGCGAACGATTTGCAAGAAGAGACCTCCCTCGTCTCTTAGAAAAGCCCAAGCTTTCCGTTCGGTTAAGGTTCCTCTTTAAGTTTAGGGTTTAGGGTTAAGGGTTTAGGGTTTCGGGTTTAGGGTTAGGGTATCCCCTTGCATAATTTCCGTGTATGCATGGTCTTTCTTATCCTGTTCCTCTTCTTACGGCCTTTGTATAGGGGGAACTCCCCAGAAGCTGGGCACAGTTCGACCACGAGCCGAGACCAGTAAACCCATTGTGCTGCCCTACTGCGAGATTTCTAACATAAGGGCGACAGGCCTGTAAACCTCAAAGAATGGCTTTGGAGAAATGCTTTGCTTGCCTTGGTAGTCGTTTCGCAGGCACTTGTATCAGAGTGGAGCGCAAACTGATATGGTTTTTGGCGTCGTGAACCCGGAAGAGCCTCAACTGTCCATAATCTTAAGCAAGGAGCAAGAGCACAGGTCCACGTGCCAGACATGATTGTGCTTGACGGCTATGGCATGCATGTCGGCTGTCGGCACTTTAAAGGGCTCTGTGAGTCGAACACTATTCATCGAACTGGTTGCCCACATCATGACCGTTGGTTGTCCCCCAGTCAGGTATGCACGCAAAGATCGACCCCTGCTCCACCGCGACAGCTTCGGATCACCCCGTCACCACCCCGAGAGACTTCAACACCCTCTGGTCAAGGAATACAGCTTACATCAACGATTCCTTAATGGAGCCTCGGAGCCTTTGGAAAGGTTGGACCCTCTTCTGCCCCCTCTCGTACGTGGGGGGGGGGGGGGGGGGGCAGGGGGGTTTCTCGAACTATCTCGCACTCATGTTCCATCCATGCACAAACATGCGTACATATGATGTATGTCACCATCTTACCAGTTTGCTTTGGTCCCATACAGTTCGGTACATGTTCTGCAAGGTTCCATAGATGCGCTTACGTACGTAACAATAAGATCAGTATGGGCATGCTTCAGACCTTTTCACACTCGAGTTTTTGAAAGTATATGGGTATGCATATGCCTTTGTGTGTAGATACGCATGATTATACACAGTCGGAAGTTCATCATCGCGTGGGAGACTTACCTTAGCATGTTTTCCGAAAGCTTTCCTTCCCCGGTACTGCATACAGTCATACGCAATATACACAAGCAGACATTGCTATACTGTATTCACTTCTGTATCCGTGTGCATATATATATGTCTATATATATATATATAAATACATCTATATATATATATATATATCCATATATATATATATATAGACGCATACACGGCTTCTTGCAGAGGCGAAGCCGCGAGATGGCAAGCCCGAGATCTATCCCTACTTCCAAGCCTTCACGAGGCTCCGGGGGAGGTGAGCCCCGAAACTCCCAGAAGCCTCCTGCCTGAATCCATCTTCAGTAACCTGAAGCCCGCAAAACTCTTATCAACACCAAAAAACCCTAAACGCTAAACCCTAAACCCTAAACCCTAAACCCTAAACCCTAAACCCTAAACCGTATCCCTAAGCTTCAGTGCCTGTGAGTTGTTGGCAGGCTCTTCGCGGATAGGGAAAACGGGGAGATGACAGCGCACTTCGCCAAGCCCTTGCTTGGAGACTCGCAGCTGCAACTCGGCGCCAGTGGCTTACTTTTAGTGTTTCATGGTGCGGATCTTTTTCATCTTTTTCTGGGTATAGTAGGGCTTTTTACGGCTAAACCCTAAACCCTAAACCCTAAACTCGAGTTGCGACTGGACCAAGGCAAGATATGCTCGCTGCGGGCGCGGGGAGGATCGTCCACATCACCCGGAATCCCACGCAGCTGGTGATGTCTGGCTACGTCTACCACCGGAAGGCCGCCGAGGCGGGGCCGGGCCCGGGTTTAGGGTTTAGGGTTTAGGGTTTAGGGTTTAGGGTTTAGGGTTTAGGGTTTAGGGGACCCCCAAGTCCAAGAGGCCGTGAGGGCTCCAGTTTCGTGTGGGGGTTAGGGGTTGGGTTTAGGGAGATGAGCGCGTGTACCAGGAACCTTACAGAGTAACCTAGATATCACCGACGCCATCTCCGATTTTTTGCTTGGAGGGCTTTTGGCAGCACGGTTGCGACAATGAGGTGAGGTTACCGTAGTACAGAAGTATAGAACATTACAATTAGTCAGGATACTAACGGACTCAAGTTCGCACTTCCTGAGGTGTGGACCACCTTCCGCGATCCGCCCGACTGCCTGAATTGCGACTCAGTTTTCATACCGGCCGCGCTGTCTTGAAGGTTTCCTGTCCCTAAACCCTAAACCCTAAACCCTAAACCCTAAACCCTAAACCCTAAACCCTAAACCCTATACCCTAAACCCTAAACCCTACCTGGGGTTCAGGCTTTCGTGTTTTGGGGCAGCGGAGCCTCCGAAAGCTGCCAGGATCCCTACACCCTAGAAACCCAGAGACTCCAATATCCCTTAATTAAGGAAGATACCTTAAATCATATTAGGGTTTAGGGTTTAGGGTTTAGGGTTCAGGGATCCTACTATAATTTAAGGTATGTTCCTTAATGAAGGGATATGGGAGTCTCTGGGAACTCCCTAGACCCGGTGGTGGCCCCATAAGTTGAGGCGATCACGAGGCCTGGACCCAAATCTTCCGAAGATGCCGCTTCCGGTGCAGCTATGCAGAGTTGCTGCAGAACCTCAGCGTGCCAGAAGGCGAAGACGTGGGCGGTTTAGGGTTCAGGGTTTAGGGTTTAGGGTTTAGGGCTTCCGGATAGCCCAATCCAAAGCTATGCTTTTGCTTCAATCCCCCTTGAAAGTCCTTCAGAAACCTGAACTCAGAAAGAGTTTGATCACCTCGCTCAGAGGCCTTCTAGAACCCTTAACGCAGAAAAGAATTTTTCTTGTAAACCATCCCATCCACTTATGGCAGCCAGGGCTCCTAAACCCAAAACCCCAAAAGCCAAACCCAACCGTAGATCCCGAAACCCTTAAACCCCAAACGCGAAACCCTGAACCCCACAGACCGTAGATCCTAAACCCTTAAACCCCGCAAAACCCTAAACCCAACACCCGAAACACTACCCTAAACCCTGAACCCTAAACCCTAAACCCTAAACCCTAAACCCACAGCCCTAAACCCTTTCCAGGGCTCGAGGCCGAGATCCTCCGCAGCCGCCTGGACGTGGCGAAGATGCTTTGGCACGCGCGGCGCTGGCAGCAGCTGGAGCTTTCCCGTTGGGGTTGCTGAGGGTTTGAGGCTTTGGGTTTTGGGGTTCTTATGGTGTTAGGGGTTTGGGGCTTTTGGGGTTTGGGGTTTGGGGTTTAGGGGTTAGGGGTTTAGGGGTTTGGGGCTTAGGGGTTTAGGGGTTAGGGGTTTAGGGTTTAGGAGTTCGGGTTTAGGGTTTAGGGTTTAGGC